TAGCGAGGACTGTGTGAAGACTATCCCATAAGACGTTGAGAAGGCTGCAGGAAGACTGGGGTGGGGCAATACTAATCAAACGGTTGCGGCCCTTCCCCCACCCCACGGTCAAAGCATTTGCTTTCGCTTAATTGTGGTTTGTTTGCATGGAGAGGAAAGAATGATGTGCCTTCCACATTGGGTTGGGGCAGGGTTTTGAAGTTTTGTCTAACATGGCGCTTTCCTCGCCCCAGGAAAGCTTGCCAGTCGGTGCTGTTTGAGCCTTACTCCGCAGAGCAGCTGCGCTCCATCGTCAAGGCCCAATTCCAGGCTGCCGGGGAGGAGGGCGAGATGGCGGAGAAGGCTGGGGCACACGTGAAGATCCCGGAGGTTCATTCCGGGTTCTCTAGCATTGGGAGAACAGCTCCATTTTTTCGTGAGGGAGCCCCAAGTCATATTGAGTTTCCTCATGATTCCTTTATGGCTATTGGGCCATTTTATGACAGCCACTTGCATCTCTCCAGGTCGGGAAGGTTTGCCCTAAACCACCCCCCTGGCCCCTTCGAAGCCAGGCCCTAGGCCGCTCCGGCATCGAGCTATCAGTGAGGAGAGCCTTGGCTACAGCTCCTGCACCTACCTAATGGAAGGTTTTGCTGGCACACGATATAACTGATTCAATTCAGTGTTTTTTTCACCAGGATCGGTTTCTAGGTGCAGTCTAGGTGCACTATTCTGTCAGCCAGCTGGAATTTGGACCTGGCCTCATGAGGTGGTAGCCATGTCCATTCCACTTGATTTGGACAGCTTTTCAAGGTGCAAGATGCCATGCTTAGTGTTGTGCAAGGTTGAGGTGCTTGCTACAGCTCCAAGGGCACATGAAACAGAATGTGTGTTTCCTTTGGTGCATTTTGCTTGGATGTCAGGAGTTGAACTTTTTGCCAACAAATGGTTTTCCATGAAACCACTAAAAGTTAGTCACTTTTAGCAGGGGAGCAGAAAGCAACCGAGAATGTTAAACAGAATGTTTGGTTCTTCGCTTCATCGATGAATGTGCTCAGGAGTTGCCAAGCATAGTGGCGACTGCCGTCACATCGTCCGCCTGTGCGAGGACGGCTTTGCAGAAGCCAGCAGGCAAAAGGAGGCGGTGGTTAACGGAGAGGCTGTGAAGAAGAAGGTGCTCCAATCAGACAACGACCCCTTGGCTGAAGTGAAGCATTTCCCTTTGGGACATCAGATCTTGATGGGCACTCTCTCCCAGTCAGAGCGTCAAGATGTGCCATTCCTGGACCTCTTCCAGCGCTATCGGGCGATCCTGACCAGGCTGAAGCAGCCCACAGCATCCAAGCCTCAGGCCAATGCAGCCCTAGCAGCAATGGAGCAGCGAGGTTCCTTTGCGCATGTTGGTGTTTTCGGCTTACTTGTTGCTTGCTTGGGTGGTTCTTTGCAAGCAACAAAAATGGCCTTGGATTGTGGCAAGGAGCCGATCGCTGGCTTTTGGGTGCTGAATGCCCAGTGAAAAGATGAACACACATTTGCCTTCATGATGGCTTTGTCGGCTTTGTCCTTTGTTTCTCTAGCTTTCCGAGTTTGAGAAAATCAGAGGAAGGCAAGCGGATTTGGGCGCTTTTCTTGGGCGTGGTCAGGCTTGCTGCACCTGCGCAAGAAGCGTTCCAAGTGCCGCGGCAACTCGGAGCTGGTGGTGGAGCTGGTGGTATCACGGAAGTCGCTGAGGGAAGAGCTGTGCAGAGCCGACCCGCTGCTGCGGCAGTGCTTTTCGGAGTAAGGCATGCAACGTGTTTTTTGGGGTACAAATTGTTTTTTGGGGTTTGGGGATGCTTGGCGCCAATGGGATTATAGGTGAACCCATTGTGCGCTCTCGCTCGCGCTGTCGAACAGCGCTGCAATGGAGTCTTAGATTAGGGGTCTTGCTAGCTGGCCAACCCAGCTAGCGAACAAGCGGGGAGGAAAAGAACAAAAGCGCTCAGCATGACAAGCACTTGGCTCACCCCAGCATGGCAATTTGGAGTCTGGCGTTTTTTCCCAAGGCAATGGTAAAGGTTGTTTGTCCGGGGTATGGTCACCAAGCACTGCGGGATGTCTCGTGTTCAATTTCGATTGTTGGATTTCCTTTGGCGTCTCGTCCATGTCTTACAAGCTTGCCACATGGCTGTGGGTCAAAACCAATGCGATCCCATGTTGGTTGGTAGGTGAATTCACCACCCATTTTAGAACCTATTTTAGTGGTTGGATTTGGTTTTTGTTCATTGGGGGTACGGGCTTGGGATTTTGAGCCATGGCCACATGCTCAGGCAGATGCCCAGCTGTTGCCTCAGCGATTGGCATGAGAACACTGGGCCTGCTGTCCACGCTAGTAGCGCAGGCTTCGAAGCCAAACAGTACGCCTCAAGGAATTTGAATGTGTGCTTGCTTCTCGCTTTTCACGGAGGCAATCATGGAATACAACCAAATACAAACATCACATCAGCCAACCTCGCCCCTGTTTTGGCAGGGTTGCAATCGTCACTTTGGCTGTGGGTCAAAACCAATGGCACCATTTTGGGGTAGGTTGCCACCCATTTTAGTCTATTTTAGTGGGGATTGGGATGTTGCCTGAGGGTATGGGATTTTGACCCATGGCCACTTTCTGAGCAGTCCGGTTCCTCAACCCGCGAGCGATCCTGAAACCGAGGATGGCACCCGTTGCTGGTGCATTGGGCTCGATCCGGCCTGAGCAGATCGGTTTGCAGAGTTGTGCGAAGTTTGGCGTAGCCCTGCAGCCATAGGCGTCCTTGTTAGGTTGGTTTGGTTTAAAGTAGATGGCACTGGTTTAGATGGTTTTTGTTTCATATACCAGGGAAACCCATCTTTTGTTCCAGCTTACCAAAATTTGCTGGACCATAGGCCGCATGATAATACTACTACATTCCAAATCAAGAATTGAGGATGTCCATGTTTTGATCACATCGGAGTCGTCTTCTGTTCTAAGAGATCACGTCCACCTGTCTTGTCCTCAAAAGGCCACCTATGCCTGCACCGCAAAGCGGAATGAGAGAAGATGGCGATTGGCAACCGATCTGAGGCCAGCACCAACGCGATCAAGACAGACAGTTGACGCTCACTGGCTCTAATTTGGAGAGACTTGCTATTTGCCGTGCATGCAAGGGTTTGGTAAAAGACGTGACCGAGCTTAAGCTTTAAGCATTTCCACACGTCTGCACCGCCAGACTGCTTGGATCCGGAAGCTAAGAAAGTGAACATGTGAAATGGCATCCGCCTCGGGCAGCGTCAAATCAGTCTCGCGCAAGTCTTTTCACCTTTGAGCAGGGATTCAGGATTAAAGCTGCTGGCCAAAATGTGGCTACTTGGAGAGGGCAAGGGGGAGGTTAAGATGGACCGAGCTGGACATCTGCCACAGGCGTCCATTGGCTCAAGAATATGTGTTATTTGCCCTTCTTGGTTTCAAAGTGAATCTATCACTACTGTAAAATAGCTTGTTTTTTCCAGGGGCTTAAGCAAATGGAAGCAGACGTCTTTTCTCATAACTTGTTTGGTGCACTGTGGGGCCGCCTTTGTGTCGCCAGTCTTCACCAAATGCTTCCAGTTTCGCATAGCAACAAGAAGCAACAAGGTCGGTGTCTTCAATCCGCGATACTGCTGAGGCCACTGGCTGAAGTCAATGCGAATGAGTCCAGCTGAGATGAGCGCAAGGGCGGGCCTAAAAGTAGTGTCCAAGCGAGCTTGACGCATGAGGCGTTTTGAGGAGCAATACTCGCAGACTCTCCCAACAGCTCAATGGTGCCCAACACTATCTTAAGCGTAGCTCAGCACATAGATAGCACAGGCAACTCTGGGTGGGTGCCGAGTGCAGCCGGAATTTCCCCCCGGAGTGTTTGCAGGTGCAAGTGGTTGACCTTCTCGCTGGCAACAAAGGCACTCTTCATCACAGCTTAAACCTGAGCACATGACACGGTACAGGGACACAGCCACACCGCTTTGCTGATCTAGGATCGCCATGTACAGGCGCTTGGAGTGCGAAATCAGGCATGTACTGTACTAGAACTCTTTGCGGCTGCTGGGGATCTCGTGTTGTGAAGGTGGGAGGGACAGCTCAGTATACATATGATGAGCAAGCCATCAAGCTGGGAAGGGGCAGATGGGAAGGCAAGTGGCAAGAGTTTGTAGATTTGGAGGCTGGCAAGGTGGGGTGGGGGGGTGGGGCTGAAAAGTCGAGGGGACAATGGAAATAGGCTACTCGGCCTAGGCGTCTGAAAGCTGTGAATAGGGCCGTTTTGCAGCTTTCGCAGTTCCTGGTTCGCTGGCTTATTCAAAGCAAAGAGCGGTACGTACGTCTCAATCTCTTATCTTGCAAGGATCGTGCTGGCAATCGAGTTTGCATGCTATGTTTCCTTTGCCCACTGCTGCTTGCAGTGGAGGGTAGCCGGCACTTTCTCAGCAAGTCGCAGATGACAGCATGGTTTTGCAGACTTCCATGCATCCGAAAACCAGACACCTGCGGTGCGTGGCTTTACTTTCCAGCTCACTGAAAGAGGCAGGTGAACAAAGGCGTGGACGTTTTGCACTTGCCGGCTAGCCGATGTCATGACCTAGCCTGCCGTCAAGGTTAATACTACCAGCGAAATGTTTGACAGATTTTAGTGGCAATGCATCTTGAGTCTTTTGCCTTGGTCAAATGCGTGCTGCAACTCAAAGAGCGCCCAAAGCATTCAAACTCACGCGCATTGGCAAAACGACCCCAAAAGCCACACAGCCCATGGATCAGAATCACCACTTTAACACCACGGGACACCATTGATTGTTGGTACTTACAGGAGAATCATCATTCCAGGGTGGTGCGAAATGGATTTTGCAACCATCCAGAGTATCTTGCGCTGCATGTGCCGTGCTGTTCGCCCATGGCCTTGCACTCGGTGCTGAGCCTGGGCATCGGCGTGGGTTCCGCAAGCCGGGGGCTTAGCAGCTTAGCAGGTGGGAGGCGCCGAGCATGTTGCGCGCATCGGCGTGTGGTTTGTTCTTTGTGGGAGTACCTCACACTTCAGCTGGGGTTTCGTAGGTTTTATAGTCTACCTCTCCATTGGCCAGGGTTCCATTTGCCTGTTTTTGAGCTACACCCTTGTCCCTTCCTTCCCCGCGCCATCTTCTTTTTGTTGCTTGGGTTTGGGAGGAATAGGCGAGTTGAGGAAGCCCATTGTAGGACAGTATATATCCAGTTGCGAACAACGGCCTAGAGCAACGCAGCAGTGGCCCGCAAAAGCTGCTCCGTAGTTCATCAGCATTGGGCACCAGTGGTCCGGACGAACCCGCGCGCAAGTCTTCATCGACGTTTTCCACGTCACTTCCTACGTTGCTAGTCGGGGACAAATATGGACAACTAGGTTTTGCGGGTCCGCGGGCGGCCATTCCTGCTTCAGCAAGGCCAAGCGTTGGGCGAATCAAGCCGAAGAAGCTGTTTGCCGCGTCAGCCGTCAACATGTCCAAAGCAGTGAGGCGCAGCGTCCCACAAATCCGTCGAGGAAGGCGCCGTGGACGATGTCAAGCTGCTATCGGGCGCAATTTGCTTTGTTGCATCATGCAGCTTCCGTCCCTTCACCACCTTGCTTGCCGCAACATGATGTCATTCTGAGTCAATGAGCTAGTCTATGTCGACCTTGGATCTTTCGCTCGGTTTGCTTTGCAGGACATGCGCCCAAATCACAGCCAGAAGGGCCGGCAGCACCGCCTTCCCTGTTTGATACTTTGCTGGGTGGCTTGGCAGGGTTCTTTGAAGGCAAGGAAGAAGCCCTTTGCGGGAATGCTCTGGGCAAAGAGCGATGTCAAGATGATCAGTCTGAGTTGATAGTGCCAAGCACCGCCGAGGACCTGACACGCAGGATGCAGCCCAGTTGCAACCAGCAAGCTTTGGGAGCACGAGGTCATGGCACGGTATGACACTTGGTTTGTTTGGTTTGTGCAAGGACGAAGTTTTCATTGAAGAGTATGCTGGTCCCGTTGAGCTGACGATCCATTCCCTGGCAGACACCATGACCGAGCTTGAGGTCTCATGTGATGCAGAGTCTTGCCTTTACTTTTGTGTTTGCCCCAACTGCAGTGCATGGCACAGTGTTCAGATTGGCTGGCCCAAGCTGCCACAAGTTGTAAGGAGATTGAAGATGTGAAGAACCGTTCTGGCCTCAGCAACGCGAACCCATGTTTTGCTCGGCAAGCACAAGCAGGCTGAACAAATCAACAGCTTAATAACAAAAGGAATTAAAAGGAAAGGAAGGGACATAGTAGGCCAAGCATGGGGAAATATTCAGGATTCACGGCACCAGTCCTGGCTTGCCCAATAATGACGTGTCTCGCAAAAGTCAGCCACCAATCATGGCTGCCACGGGAATAGCTGGGGATCTCGAGGAGTCAGAATGCTTTGCGCTTGACCTAGGTGCAGCGCAACGCCTGGTGCTCTTGCCTCAACACGGCACTGGAGCCGTATTGCTGGACATGGCTTCTGGCAAGGCGTGGGCTGAGTCATTGGCGTTGGCTGCGGCGCTTTGGTTTGAAAACCTCCAGTCTCCAGGCGTGAGCCTGCATTCATCGGTGCGTGAGCTTCTGCCTGGCAGGTGCTGCCTGGAAACGGCACTGTGAAATCCTGCCAGCTCTCACATCGAAGCCGACTTTTGCTCATGGGAAAGTCCAGGCTGCAGCCTCCTCAGTTGGAAGTGTGAGCGGTGCAGCTGCAGCCGAATCATGGTACTGCTGTGCATGGCATTGTTTTGCCGACGCAGTCCACGCAACTATTTTCAGTCTGGGACACAGCTAGCGCAGCTTCGATGGCTTTGGTACCTTGCAAGGTATGCCCCGAAGGATGTGCACGTGTCCGCCATGCTGGTGTATGCCAGGCTGGCCGAGAAGAAGTTTGTGCTCGCCAAGCCGCAGACGCTGCGCGAGAACGAGGATTTGCTGCTACGGCTGGACACTGAAGAGTGCCACCCTCATGCAGAAATTGCAGTGAACTGGACGTGAGCAGCGTCCAAAACTTGCATTGGCCATTTTAGTGGGTGGTTCTACTACCTTGTTTCATTGATAGGACCAAAAGTCAATCGGTGTTGGGCGCTGCGCCTGTCAGTGCCGCCAGACGGGAAGTGAGGTACGAGGGCACCTTGAACTCAGTGCCAATTCCTGGGGGCGCTTTGGGGCGCTTCAAGACCGGGAGGGCTGTGAGAGGGGTAATGCAGAACGCGCATGTGCCATGCTTGGCCGCAAGGGTCGAACTTTGATACGGCAAATGGCTGGACGCACAAGCAGTGAGGCACTCATGAGCGTTCCAATCCGCCCTTCAAAAGCAATCACTCCTTGCAGGACCTTGCCAGTGGGGAGCAAAGCCGACAAGCCGGACAGACAGCAGGTTGCCAAGGACACGCATGGGACCGTCTCACAACATGTCTTAGGAGGGCATCCCCAAAAGTTGCGATTTATGCAGGAGTCTCAGGGAATTGTTGTGAGATTTCCGCAGGATCAGGTCAGGGAAATCTTCATCCCCTTGAGCCGTGTGCGACGCTATTTGACCGGTTAGCCTCGAGCACTGGAACAGGCCACGCCGCAACTCGGGCGCTTGCGGAGTACGACCCACAAGGGCCCGCAAGGCACTCGGGATGTGGTTGGCAAAGCCCGGGTGCTGTGGAAGAGAAATCCAACGCATGGAGCTTGGGAGGTGGAAACAAGAGGCGCAGCTCTTGCAAAGGATGCCACCAAGTCCAGAAGTTTGAGCAAGTGCCATCGGCTTTCATCCAGGAGGCTCCAGCAGGCGAGCCAAAGCTGAAACTTGTAATTCCATAGTTAGCCGAGGAATTCGGATGCAACTTGGGAATACTCGGGATGCATCATCCAGGTAGAAACCACATTTCATTTTGAATCTGGAAAGGCTCAATCTGAGTTTCCGGCGTTCCTATGTGCAGATTCAGTTTCAGCTGCTGCGCTAGGCGTCGTCGGCTTTGAAAGAGTCAAAGTGGCAAGCCGTTGCCAAAACATGGCGAGACGTGCCGGAGCTGACGCGAGACAGCGTGAGGCATGGCCTCGGTAGAAATGCCGGCGGGAATAAACGCAGAGAAGCTCGCCGTTTGGCCCGCCTCAGTTCTTTTTTTGTCATAGGTGTTTTGTTTGGTTGTTTTGGCCGAAAAATAGAGGGCGATTCCTGGTTTACCTGGTGGTTTAATCATCTACCAGGAAACCCATCTATTTTCCAAAAGGCCACCTATGTTCGACGTACTTGCATGCGCTTTTTTTTTTCCCCACGAGGTGAGTTTTTGAGGACACGGTTGCTCGGCGCATCGGCTCAGTGCTGTCCCGGTAGCTGGCCGGAATATGAAAAGTTCCCATGCGTGCCTTGGCGGAACAATGGCACCTGAGCCATCAAAACCTGGGATGAAGGTTAGTAACTAAGACAATCCCCTTGCCATAAATAGCTGCGGATATCCGCCTTCTTAACTCCTTATATACATGGTTCTGGGGATCGACCATTTTAATACCGGGCTTTGATTATGACTATGTGGCACTCGCTTGATCCTCAAACCTGCAACATGGGCTGTGTCGAAGAATTATGGTGCTTGAGAATGCAGAGAACGTTGTTTCCCCAGCTGACTGTGGCTCAAAAAACCGGTACCCAAAATGTGGACGCCTGGTAAGTGGAAACATGGACCAAAACCTGCGGTTTGCCCCCCCTGTTTAATTTTGAGCCACAGCCAGCTGACTAAGGCCCACTTCATTTTCCAAAGCAGCATCGCTGCTGTGGCTACAAGGTGCGAAGGAGCTGCCTGCAGCAGCTCGAGTGCCACTTGGCGAAAAAGTCACCGTGTGACAAATCCCTTTTCGACAGCCCTTCACATTCAGCTCAAGGACCAAAAATAAAGATGCCAGGCACTAGATTAACCACGGCTCAATTGACGTAGTTCACAGCATCAAAAAAGTCAAGAGGCCTGCAAAAGCATTTTGGAGTTCATCAAATCCACCGTGCTGCCCTTGCAGCACACTGTCTCCCACAACATGGCAGTCAATCCCAACATACCCACTGCTTCCAATATTGGAGCAGATAATTTAGGTCGCAGCAGCAATGCGACTCTGCACTGCCACTGCCCTTTACTGCGCACATCGAACCCTTGTCAAGGCCATACTTCTTAGTCACTCCCACTTTGTCCACAGAGCCCCCCAATTCGGCCACGCAATACAATACCAATCACACGGCCCAGCCACACCAAGCCAGTCGTGCAGTCCACTGTGCAAACCGTGCCGTGCCAACAGAGATACATCATATTTGCCAATGGCCGTGCCATCCGACCGCATCATCTCAATGTCCCAGTGCGCCAGGCATTGCAGCGCCAAGCTGTGTCACTTTCACAGCCACCGTATCGCACCGCCATACCCACCATATGGTACCACCATACCGAACCACACTATCCGCAAACATACCACGCGAAACGCACAGGCACCCTTTGCCAAGCGTAGGTCCAGGTGTTGCCACCGTAGTTGTATCGAACTAGCTGTGCCCATGCAAGTACACAAGGGGTTCCAGGATACAAGTCTGGACCACTTGAGAATAGGCCCCACCAGGAGCACCTGTAGCTGAAGTGCCTGCCAAGGTCTACCGAGGTCCAAAGCCAAAACCCTGAACCAACCCTGAGCCCCAAACCCACTTCAAAGCAAGTTGAGACCGAACCCATGAGCAGAACGAACCCTAAACCCTAAACTAGCGTCCAACAAAACACCGGATACAGATGGTACCTGTTTGTGTTACAGATGCTTCGAATGTCGAATTAAACTCAAGGGCTCCAGTCAGAGGGCTAGGCTTTGTGACTGGTGACCGAAGGTCGAGCTGTGTGAGCGCTGAGCCAAGTTTGTCAGATGCACCAAGGAGGGGCTTGAACAGCGCTGCTCGCACGGGCCTGGGCAATTTTCAGGAGAAAGCCCACGAAGAGACTTGGCAAGACGGGCATGCAAATTGAAGTTCACCTAAGGCGGTTCAGAAAAGCATGCACACACACGCACACGACACGTAGACTCCTGAAGGAGGAAGACATGTATCTGCGAGTGGTGAAGTTCGAGTGAATATACGGGAAGTCTCATAGCGGGAGAAACCAAGGGCCAAGAAGACTTTACATCACTGCTGCAAGTGCCTCTGCTGATCAGGCAGGATATCACAAGTTAACAGCGGGCGTATTCATTGGCGTAGGACTCGCTGAAACTCCCGGCGCCCCCTGCAACAAAAAGTCGGTCCCAGGGTTCAGGAACTCGGCACGCCGCCGTAGGAGCAGAACCCCAACAGCAAAGAAGCAAAACAAAGCGAAGCAACACGGCCCCAAGTTGGGCCTCCCTCGCCGGGCAAAACCCTAACCAAGAAGCAAGAAAAAGAAGGAACCCGGGCTTAGGGTCTCCGAGGGCAACAACCCTAAACAAAACCCTTTAACCTCGCAGATGAAGAAGATCGTGAAGGTAAACAGCCCCAAGACGAAGAAGCCATCCTGCAAAGGGGCCAAGGGAAAGAACAGGAACGAGCGGAGGAAAAAGCCCAGAAAGAAGTGCGGACAATGCCCAAGACAGACAAGACGAAGAAGACAAAATCAAACAACAGGAAGACGATGAAGCCAGCCCGCAACGGGGCACACGGAGCCAGCAAAAAAATACCAGCCAGCGGCCGACGAGGCGCGAAAAATCAAGGAAGGGGCAGCCATCCCTCAAAGGAGCCAAGAGCAGGAAGACAGGCAGCAGGGCAACGAAGAAGACGATCAACCAACAAAGCAAGATTCATTGGTCTGAAAGAATCCTTGATCAAACTGAGGTCACGGAACTGAGGTCATGAAGCGGGCGGGGATGATCTCCGAAGCTGCATCTCGCAAACATCTTTCGCGCAGGACGCAGACACGTAACCTCGTGAAGTTAGAGGGTGAACACGCTCGAAGTCACATGCAGTCGGCCCCTCTTTACCAAATCCAACACGCAGCGCGCGCACACACACAGCGGGGGAGAAACCAAGGGCCAAAAATACATTGCATCACTGCTGCAGGTGCGTCCGGCTGATCAGACAGGATGTCACGAGTTAACAGCGGGCGTGTTCACGGAAACAGAACAGACACAGCCACAGACACAGACACAGACACAGACACACGCACACACACACACACACAGACACAGACACAGACACAGACACAGACACAGACACAGACACAGACACAGACACAGACACACACACACATATACAAACATATCTACACACACACACACCCACACCCACACCCCCACACCCACACCCACACGCGCACGCGCAAGCACGCGCACACGCACACGCACGCGCGCGCGCGCACGCACGCACGCACACACGCACGAACGCGCGCGCGCGCACGCGCTTGCGCACGCACGCGCACGCGCACTTTCACGCGCACTTTCGCGCTCACTTTCACGCGCGCTTTCACGCGCACTTTCACGCGCACTTTCGCGCGAACGCGCGCTCGCGCGCACGCGCACTCGCGCACACGCGCTGCGCACGCGCACACGCGCACACCCGCACACACGCACACGCGCACACGCGCGCGCACGCGCACACGCGCACACCCGCACACACCGCGTACACGTACACGTACACGTACACGTACACACACACACGTACACACACACACGTACACACACACACACACACACACGTACACACACCCACACGTACACACACACACGTACACACACACACACGTACACACGTACACACACACACGTACACACGTACGTACACCTGGAGCACCCTTCGTTACCTAAATTTCTGCCTTTAGCCCAAACGTATTGCAAAACCAGGGGTCGTCACCAAAATACGGTAAATGTACTCTTTTTCCTGCTTCGAGCGTTTTTCACAAAATTGGGCTGGTCGGTCCTCCAAGATGATCGGTCGCTGAATTTTCGAAAGGAGCGAGCAGAATTCGAAGTGTAAAACAAGCGCAAATATCCGCAAAACGAGCGCAAATATCCGCAAACGAGTGCAAATTCAAAAAGCGTAACAATGCCGGCCGTCCTCTGGATGGAAGAAGGGATTTGGTCGAGCCTTTTTCGGGGTGCGAGCGTTTTTTTGCGGGGTCGAGCAGAAGTCGGTAATTCGAGCGTTTTCTTCTCGTACTAAAAAAGAGGGCACGTTGGGTGCCTCAGGCACACACACACACACGTACACACACACACGTATACGTACACGTACACGTACACGTACAAGTACACGTACACGTACACGTACACGTAACACACACACACACACACGTACGCACGCACATACACGCACGTACGCGCACTTACGTGCACAAACGCGCAGATACGTGCACACCCCCACACACCCACACACACACACACACACCCGCGCGCTCATACGAGCGCGCGCACGCACACACGAACACACTCATGTCCCAATCATGCTGCAGGAATACGGGGTCAAACCATATGCTTACCCCCCGGAGGCCCCTGCATATTGAACGAAGTAGACTTATTTACGCAGGCTGGTTGGACGACGTGCCTAGTAGCGTGCCGGCAGATGCGCGAACAGCGCCGAGGATGATGAAGGGCCACGCTACTTCCAGAAAGTCGGAGGCAGTCTGACCAGAAAGTGAAAGCCTTGGCGGTTAAGTCCGCTTGCGGCTTTGCTTCCCTGTGTTGGGCACTAGGTCGCCGTCGTTGAGTTTGGCAAAGCTGCCGAAATCAAATGACCAACGCGGTGTGCAAACAAGATGATGGAGTTGATGCACCCTTGCCCATGCAACGAAGCGAGCCATCGAGCAGTCAGAAACCCACAGCAATGGAAAATGTCAGTCACCAGAAGCAGGCAGAACCCCAGAATTGAAACCAAACCTGCAAGCGAGACAGCATCCACCAAAACAATACTGTCTTCGTCTAATTCATTGGAGGCGGCGCCTTCATCTACCGCCTCGCGGATCGGCGGTGGTGTCTTGGGCCAGAGCTCTACGGCGAGGCGCATGGGCCAAGGTGGAGGGAAACTGCAGCGTTTCGCGGTGTTTGGCGTTTGGGATCATAGCGTAGTTGTTCTGACAGGCTGCGACAGCCGTCGATTGTTTTGCAGCTTCCTCAGGATGTCATTTGGGCCGAGACCACTTTTCCTGGTGACCGACTGCCTTTCAGCCTGCCGCCTAAGCTGACACATCCTGTGCATTTGCATGTCGAACGCAGAGCTAAGCCTGAAGTGGTCAGTTGGGCACAGAAGGAAAGGGGGCAGAGACATGAATCAGGGCGCATGCAGCACTTAGGGGCAAAAGCAGCCCTATCATATGATAAAGGATCGGCTTGCGGTAGTTTCTTTCTTGCAGTAACTGGAGTACGGGAGAGAAGCGCGGTCTACACAGCACGTTAACTTGGGTTCATTCCTTCGCTGGCTGTGAGGGGTGACGTTCGTCATTGTCCGACGGGCAGTAGCGTTCTGCCGATATATGCCGATAGATTGTTTCAATTTGTCCAGATGTACCATTTTTTCGGGAAGGGCAGAAGCTGGCACGGGCTGCTTGTTTCTTCGGGTCATGCCCAGGCAAAGACCAGAGCTGGAGATCCAACTTTGGACGGCCAGAAATCTCGGTGACGAGATCCAGCTGCACCGTGCACCAAGGCAGCTCTTGGAGCCTCAGAGCCATCCCGTGTTGAGCGTTTGGGGTAGTATAAGAAGGGGGGGTAATACTACTTTAGTATTGGGCAGGCCCCTTTCTAACAAAACATGCAAAACCCTGCGAGACGATAAGGGAACAACAAGGATAACAAATCGTAAGACATGAGTGATGCGCAGCTGCCAAAGCGACTTCACGTACTGCATGTGTACTTTACAGCTGCAGACTTTCCAGCCGGAGCTGCCAAAGCGCCGGAGCCGCAAAACACTGCGAAACGGTAAGGAGTAAAGAAGCGCCAAGCCTGAAAAGGATCGAACAGTTGATCACCTATACAACCCCACCCCACCTGGCGACGAACATTGGTGCTGTTCATTGGATGGATTTGTTCTTTTCCGCCCTGCGACTTGACAAAATATATTAGCACCCTTGGCAAATATTGACATGCAAGAGATGTTACCTGGGCTACCTGATGAATCCGCGCAGCTTTGGCTTCAGCTGCAGTCCCTAGGAGAATTCAGAGGAGCTAGAAGCCATGATGCACAAGCAAGTGTGTGGTGTGAAGGTGCAGTCGATGCTCAATTTGGTTGCCTATGTGCTGAACTTGGGCATCACATACGGCTCTCTTACAGGGGCATTTGGAGAGACCAACACAGAGCTGAGCGCCAAGTACCACACGCTCATCACGCCATCAGGCTATGCCTTTTCCATTTGGGGATTGATCTTTCTTGGGGAGGGAGTCTTTGCCGTTGCGCAGATGTTCCCGAAGTTCAGCTCCAGCGCAGTTGTGGATGCCGTCACCCCATTTTGGCTCAGTGCTTGCACATTCCAGATCGGTTGGACGATCTTCTTCGCACAGGAGTTGATGCTGCTCGCACTGATTTGCATGCTGGCGATCTTGGTCAGCTTGCTGGGGGCCATTCTTCGCGCAGATCTCTTGCAGGAAGTGTCCTGTGCGGAGTATGGCCTGCTGCGTGCCCCCTTCTCTCTGCATTGCGGTTGGATCATTGCAGCCAGTGCATTGAACATCAATGTCCTGGCTGACTTCTACAAGGCTCAAAACCTCATCCCCGGCAATTTGTGGTTAGGAGGCCCCCCCTTGGATTTCAAGCAGGCTAGAAGATGTTAGATGCAAAGTCCCGACACTTGCCACTGGCCGTCGAGTCATCTTCTGCTTCCAAAACGAGCATCCATCGAGCAACATGGCCAGCATTTCTCACGAGTGCCCGTCCCTCGCATGAAGCACGTTGCAAAATCGTGCGGAGGAGTCAGCTGCACAGATACGCTCAGTTGCACCGCTCACTCCGTGGCGGCAGCGATATTTCGCAAGCAGTGTTCTTTTGCACAAGAGCGACCGACCCCTTTGCCACCAGCCGATTTCAACTTGGATATAAGATGTGGAAAATGACCATTCGCAACTCCTCCCATTTTGGGTTGAAATGCATCTTTTCGGTGGTCTCCTGAATGGTCATCCCATGTAATTATAGGACCTTTTGATCAACCCCCTCATACCTGGCACCTCACTGAAGGTCAAATCCCTGGAACCGGCCCCTGCAGGCTGCCCCTGAGATCCTGCTCATGCTGGCCATCCTGTGCCTAAGCGCTATCAGCGTGCTGGTGGCGCTCTTTGCCTTTGCGGTGCCAAAGGCCGATCCGCTCATCGGCCTGGTGGCCTGCTGGGCTTTGCTGGCCATTTTCGCAGAGCTTGGCAATCCGGACGGGCGCGGAAATATGAGCGTATACATATTATTACCCTCCCACCAATTAACATGGAACCTGACAGGGCATGTTAATTGGTGGGAGGGTAAAGCATATTGAAGCACAATTTGAACAATCTCTGTTTCACTGATCTGGGCATGGTGTGGCCAATGCTCTTCAGAATGTTGCTTCTCACTTGATGCCCGCCGCCCAGAATTGGAGTTTTAAGCATTTCAGAAGAGACCGTTGGAGGTGTTGAATGTTTGCTTCTGGTTGGCGTTGGCACCTTAGGTGCCACCAAGCGGCCTTCAGACTTCAGTCTCTCAGACCTTCGCACTTTGGCCCTGCAAGGAGAAGTTGAACGACCCAGCTCGTTTCAACTACTTCGACTGGCCAGAACTGGTTCTGGAAGCATTGCGCCGCTAGGCTTGCAACCAGTTGGAAAGCATGGCAATAACTCAAGCAGAGTGCATTAGGCTGGGCACGTTTTGCTCCCAGCCACTAATTGGGCCAATCGGTCAAGTGGTATGAAAAGAGGAACGGCCTGTTTGCTGGGCAGTCCGCAAGTGTGGAGCGAGCTGAATTGTCGGATGCTGAAGTCACTCGACCTAAGGCGACACCGCCCTGGCCCTGGGTTTGGCCAGCGCAGCTGCTTCTGCGGTGGCAGCGGGCCGCCGAGTATGTTGCCACGGAGCCAAATCAGCAGATGCCTTTGCGAGCGATCAGGCGATTTAATCATGCATTTTTTTGGGTGTCTATGTTGTGAAAGCCCCGCAGGCCCTGCAATACAGTACAGGGCATGCGCGGCGTATCTTTTGCCATTTTGCCATTCAGAAGTTGCTAGGGCCGAAGGCTTCTGACAAATCAGCGGCTGCGCCCCTAATAGCTTTCTGAAACTGCTTTTCGCAGGGAGCAATTTTCGTGCAAGTGGAAGGCAGCATGTGCCTACGTGCCATGCGTGCTGAGTTACCGCGCGCTCATGCAAGGACGAGTACAGGTTTGCAAAAAAACGTGCTGACCAATCATTTTGGGATTTTAGGGGATTCTTGCTTGAGAGATTGAGGGCAGACACCCATTGATAACATACTTAGTGCGGTAGACAGTGAGTGTCCATTTCGTGGTCTGGGTTTGGTTCTAGAGAGTTGTTTCGAAATCGCTCGCATGAGCAACGCTTTGGGGGTGCCCTCATTTTTTGCAAGAGACGAATGGCCGCATCTCAGCGATCAATGCCCGGCTTTTCGCCTTCAGCTGTGACGCAAAAAGCGTTCGCCAGGCCTCGGCTTGCGAGCGGTGGATTTGGACGACAGCTCAAACCCGCAACTTTGGCAGGAATTGTGCACAACCGTTTGCACCAATCGAGGAAGATGGGGATCGGGATGATGGAGAGAGAGAGAGAGAGAGAGATGTCAAGAGACATCCATGAATACATTAGGGCAGTGTGTACATGAGGTAGACATTGTCCCTGACAGGCCTTGAGCCATACAGGTTCAAGCTGGCACATGTGAAAACAGATGCACGACAGCTGCCGCCGCTCACACACAGGTTCAAACATTTGCACACTGAAGTTTTACATGGTAGCGGAGCAGTGATCCCTGGTACACGACCCACACTACCCAGGGTGAGCTCCAACACGCACTCACAGGTTTAGGTGTACGGCAGTAAGTAACACAGCATGGCACAAGCATCCACAGCACAAGTAGCAGTCACACAAGTGCACAGATACAAGATACCGCCACCACGGCTCAATGGCACATATGAGGCCTTCGAGGAGTGGAAGTACAAGATGACAGCATACCTTGGGTTACAAGACCAAGCATACCCACAGCTACTCTCAGGAGCTGAGACAGCAACACACACACTGGACAACGACGACCTCGAAACAGCAGCACCAGACACAGCCACAGCAGAACACTGGAAGCAACTTGGGAGCGACCTCAACTACATCCTCGTTAACACTTGCGACGACACTGCAGCAACAATCTGCAGACAACATGCAACGAACACTGGCTTCGAGATCTGGAGACAACTCCACATCCGGTTCTCGATACCCATAGGTACACGAAGCATCGGTTACCTCACAAAGCTTCTCAAGCCACAATTCGACGAACATAAGTTTGAAGAAAGCTACACCACATGGGAGTTTGAGGTCACACGGTACGAAAGGGACAACAACACAACACTGCCGGACAATGTCAAAATAGCCATACTGCTCAACGAGACAAAAGGACCACTGCAGCAACACCTACAGCTACAAGCAGGCTCAATCACAACGTACGCACAGATCAGGTCACTGATCTTGGAATACCACAGAGCATCAACAGCATTTGCACGACTACACACACTGACACAAGCATCAGCAAGCAGCGGACAAGGACCAGCACCAATGGACATCGGCGGCACATGGCACAAAGGCGGCAAGAACAACAAAGGAAAAGGAAAAGGCAAGCACAAAGGCAAATACAACAAAGGAAAGGGCTACGGCGGCTACGGCAACAAAGGCAACAACACTAACTACAACACAGGTTACAACAAAGGCGAAGGACAGCAGGGTCCCATAGGACAAGGAAGCCCATACGGAGGAGGAAAAGGATTCACAGGATTCCACAAAGGAAAAGGAAAAGGAAAACACAAAGGAAAGGGATACAGCAAAGGAGCAAAAGGGAAAACAGCAATGAACATCTGCTACAGATGTGGACAACCGGGACACTTCGCCAAGAACTGCCAAGTTCCGGTCTACAACTTGGACACGGATGGAGACTACAACAACACAGACCCCTCGTTTCAGTGGTACAACACACAGGACACTTACGACAACACCTGGTACAACCAGGATCAGACACCGTACAACCAAGCACCACAGTTGGCACTACCGGCAGCGCGAACCAACACCACACCACTGGTCGTCTCAGGCATAGACGACATGCTCATTGGAGCAATACAAGCAGCAGACACAAGCGACATGGACAACAGAGCAGTGCAACTCATGATAGATAGTGGAGCAGCAACACATGTTTGCCCAACAGACTACCCACTGCAACAGATACAAGAGGACACAGGACCACAACTCAGAACAGTCACAAACCAACCAATCAAAGTACACGGGTACAAATGGATCTGCATGCAAAACGACACAGGACAACACATAGTGATACCCTTTTATGTTTGCGACGTCAAACAACCAATCCTTTCGGTCACAAGGTTGGTTCAACAAGGGTTCAAAATCACACTTGACGAACAACCGAACACGCAGCACAGCAAAGGCTTTCACAGCAACCTGGTACAGCAGAATGGCCTGCTGTTCCTACAGATGCACATTAGCATCATGGCGGACAACATGGAGCTACAAGTCAGGGACACACCGCAAGGACAAGTAGCAACAATAGCACCAATCACAACGATAGCACCAACAACTCTCACGCCAACGGGCGCAGACATTGTCAGAGGAGGCACAAGTGACCTCTGGCAATACAACAACAGCGGAGAACTCGTGCGAGTACACAGAGTGTACAGGAAAGCACTGTTCACACCCGAACGAACAGAATGTCCAGTGTCACTCGACAAACTGGAAAACTACAGGCGAACCACAGTCAAGAAGCAAGATGGCGCAACATACGTCATCGAAGAACAGTATCAGACACTAGACAGCAAGCAACAACACAGAACGCTCCCACATTCGTGGAAAGGTGAAACAGTCTTCCGAATCAAGAAACAGCACCAGCAGTCGGCGGCCCAGCAACAACAAATGGCGGCTAAGCAACAGCAAACGGCAGCACAGTCAACCACCACAATAGGAAGACAGGCAGCAACAAGAATCACTCCACATGTCATTAGTTACAACCCAAAGATGAGACTGACAACAAAGACAACACCACAAGCGCAAGGAATTCCACAACCACACCACATGACCCCAACATCGGACTACTGGATTCGCGAAGGACATCTTTGGAAACGAGTACATGTTCTACCACGACAGGACTTCTACATCCCGGAGAACACCACAGATGGACCAGACATCAAGAACCTCACGCCCTTCCGCGGTACAAGATCTACGAAGGTCGGCGACAAAAACGAGCACAAGTACATCGAGGACGAGTGGACAACGCAGCCCAACAAATCCCACGATTTTCTGTGGACAGGTTCGACCAACTTCGAGGAGAACGCGCAGTACGACACGCAACTACATCCAGGAGATGATGAAGAAGCACAGCAGCAAGCACACAGAGCAAAAGCAATACCAGCACCGAAGCAACCAACAGCACAAGAACTAGCAGAACATGAGCTCACACACCTTCCCTACAGGAGTTGGTGTAAAATATGCACACAATCAAGAGGCAAAGCAGACGCACACAAGCAGCAACAACAAACAAGCAGAAGCCCAGTAATACAACTTGACTTCGCGTACTTGAAGAGCTTTGACGACCCGGCGTACCAGACAACCCCGGTTCTAACAGCAATCGACATACAGACAGGCATGATGATGGCAGTGCTCATCAGAGACAAGCAACAACAGTTCGAGCACGCAGTACAACAGCTGCAGACATTCCTTCTGGAATGCGGCCGCACACATGCCATCTTACAGAGCGACCAAGAGGACTACCTCAAAGCACTGATCAAAACAACAGCACACAGAGTAGGACACATGCAAGTGAGGTTCTCGCCAACATACAGCTCACAATCACAAGGAAGCGTTGAAAGAGCACACCGCACACTGTTTGGACAAATCAGGACACTGAGAGCACAACTTCAACAGAACTACAACAGAAAGATCAACCTGCAACACCCACTAATGGCATGGATGGTAAGGCACAGCGCCTACATCCTCAACAGATATGCCATTCACAGCAACGGACACACAAGCTACTTCAACAGGTGGCAAAAGAACCCACAAACTCCACTCTGCGAGTTTGGAGAAACAGTGCAGTACATGGTTCCGACACTCAAACAATACCCAAAACTGGAACAGCGCTTCTTCGACGGCATCTGGTTGGGTCGAGATGAGAGCACAGGGGAACACATCCTTGGAATCAGCAACAGAATCATACGAGCAAGGACAGTCAGAAGAACAATAGCACCACACAAATACAACCAGCAGTTGATGGATGTAGTCAACGCAGGACCATGGCACATACCACCACCGACAGCACCGATCGCAACAAGAGTAGCGCGACCAACAAGAGAAACAGGAACAGACACCTCACGCACAAGCACGCAAGATGCAGGAACAAGCACAACACACGAGCATAAGCGAGCGCCGCAGCAGGATGGATCACCAAGAAAACAACAACGACTTCTTCCTGGAGATGCTGGACCTACATCACCAATGGCGACTTCACCGACGACATCAAGACGACCACCACTACCACCACCAACACGAACACGCGCAGATGAAATAGCAGAAGGAAGCACAAGCAAGCAACAGAAAACGGAAGCAGCGCAACAGCAGAAGGAAAGGCCAGAGCAAACAGAGCAACCGAAAATGAAGCTCAGGATTGGAGCCATCACAGTAAACAACAAAACAGGACAACCAATAGAAGCAACATCTTGCGAGGATCAACAGGAAGCAGAAAATGAAAGAATACTACTAGAACCAATCCTGAACAACACCAACACGGAGGACCTAGACCCACAACTGGTGGCAGAAGGTATGAAGAAAGAGATCAAGCAAATGAAGGAACACAATGTCTTCACAGAGGTTGACATCAGAACACTCACGCCGGAACAACAACGAAACATTGTGGAATCAAAGTGGGTGCTGAAACCAAAAGGAGATGAAGTCAGAGCGCGCACAGTGGCAAAAGGCTACACCGAAAACATAGCAGACACAGACACACTGTACGCATCAACACCAATGTTCAGCATCCTTCGCACACTTCTCACAACAGCACTAGCAAAAGGATGGAAAGTTCGCACAGGTGATGTCAGCGTGGCATTCCTACATGCCATAGCAGCAACAACGGACATCCACATGAGACCGCCACAAGAATTTTACGATGAGAACAACAAGCGCATTGTTTGGCGGCTCAACAAAGCAATGTACGGCCTTAGGTCCAGTCCCAAACAGTAGCAAGATCACATAGCAACAGTCCTCACAAAGCTTGGACTAACACGACTCAAAACAGACTCCAACGTCTACAGGAACAAGGAAGGGACAGCCTACATCATGATCTACGTCGACGACCTACTTCTACTTGGAGAAGGACACATCATCGACAAGATCTTCGAACAGATCGAGAAGGAGGTTCTTCTACGACCCACAGGTGAACTACAACCAGGTACAACAATTTCCTTTCTCGGAAGGAAGATTACACACAACGGAAACAGCGTGGACATCAGCCTGCAGGACAAGTACGTCAACGACATCCTGGCTGAAGCAAACATGAGCAACTGCAACCCAGCACCAACACCATGTTCACCAGCACTTAAGACAGACACCAACACAGAGCAACCTCTGAACACAGAGGAACACAAAGCATACAGAAGGACAGCTGGCAAGATACAATGGCTAGCATACACCAGACCAGACATTTGCTTTGCAGCAAAGGAACTTGCACGTTCCTTACAGGCACCAACACAACTCGACAACCAGAGAGTTAAACACTTGCTCAGATACCTAAAAGGCACACAGCACTACAAGCACAGAATACAACCAGTCATGCAGCATGGAGACAAGCGAGTCCCGGTCGACATCGACATCTACACCGACGCAAACTGGGGCTCATGCCAAACAACACGCAAGAGCACAACAGGCTTTGCAATACACTACCTCGGCACATGCATACACTTTGCATCACGCACACAAGCAGTAGTAGCACTTTCCTCAGCGGAATCAGAGCTATATGCCATAGGCACAGCATGCACAGAAGGCCTGTACACACGCAACTTTGTACAGGAAGCATTCGACATCAAAACGAACCTAAAGATACACACCGACAGCAGCGCAGCAAAATCCATCACAATGAGAGAAGGCACATCAAAGAAAGCAAAGCACATTGAACTGAAACACCTCTTTGTGCAACAACTAGTAAAACACGGACTGATCTCGATGCACAAGATCAGATCAGAGCACAACCCAGCAGACATCCTCACCAAAGGAGTGAACACAGAGACACTCCACAAGCACCTCTACAAGGTTGGTCTTCCAGACCGGCCCACATCTCGGATGTGACAACCACAACGCCAGTTTCACACATGTTGAACAGTATGTAACACACGTAATGTTCGACAAGTTGCGACTCAGTAACATCCACAGTATTTGCACGTACTTGTGGTACCGTAACGACCTTCGCACTTTGTCACTTGTCTGTTTTAAAATAACAAGTACAAGCGGGGCAGCGTTTCACAGTAGAACATCGCGCGATGGACAATTCTTTGCCATAACTTTCGGATGGTTTCAGGACACACTGGGAACACATCCCGATACATCTTTTCTCCTTTCACCTGCATGTCTTCGAAGTTGCTTTAGAAACCTGCAGCCATTTTGCACCTTTTTGTAGAGCAGTGCAGCTCAAGTGCGGCGATGGCGCACACAGGGCGCATCACACCCTGCACATGAGGTCGGACATTCCACCGGGTTTCACCTCTCAAGTGGTCCCAGGACACATAGGGCAACAGCCAGACAATGTTGCAGACTACACTGAGCACCTCACTTCTGGCCACACCAAGGACATCGACGTGATCCCAGGGAACATGCGCATGCCTCACATGGAAGTACTAGGCCTCCTGTACAGCCCCATAGACTGCCTGATGTACATGCTTTGGCTCTACAATACCAACGGTTGTTCGACAAGGAACTTCGGTGCAACCTATTTGATCCATATCTGGATCAACACGCATCAGTTGTTCCACATGCTCTATCGCAAGGTGCTTGTACCCTTCAACCGGGGCTATTCGTCGCAGATACTACAGCTGGACAAAAGCGCAGCGCTGAAGCTCACACTGGCGGAAAAGGCGTCGATTAGGGTGAACAAGATTATGGGAGACATTTGGAGTCTTCATGCCATGTACAGCATCCGCAATGGGTTCATCACAGTTCAACACGTCGTTCTGCATCTGGAGACATTGTTGGAGTGTGATGTCGGTGACCTTCGACACGGAGCCGCAGCAATGGCATTCAATTTGCTGACGTTCGGTGACCTGATGAACATCCCAGACCGCTTGCGACAACGGGTGCAGAATTACATTCTGCAGCACAAGATCATCTTGAATGGCTGCATTGATCACCCTGCGCCTGGAACACCGGAGTTTGCTCAACAAGCCAGAGAGAATCACAAGCAAGAACAAGTGCTGGAACAGATCAAGGGTTACAGGCTCCTACACTCAGACATTGCCGCACCTTGATACATTGGTGCTGCAACATTTGGCAACCTTGAGAAAGCAACTGCACAGAAGAGATTGTGATACATTTGCTTCTGGAAACAGTTTGGCTTATGGACACAGTCTTGCGCATGAGGTTGCTTCTCACGGACGATGCGTGTACAGAGCTTCGACAAACTAGGGCACTGTCGAATAGGAGTTGTACAGTAGCGACAACATTCTTTCGACACCCGCAACTTTAGAAGCTGCATCTGCCCTCAAACATTGGCCTTTTTTGAACGGAGTGTACAAGCTTTGTACAATCCGAAGAAGGGTGTCAAGAGACATCCATGAATACATTAGGGCAGTGTGTACATGAGGTAGACATTGTCCCTGACAGGCCTTGAGCCATACAGGTTCAAGCTGGCACATGTGAAAACAGATGCACGACAGCTGCCGCCGCTCACACACAGGTTCAAACATTTGCACACTGAAGTTTTACAGAGAGAGAGAGAGAGAGAGAGAGAGAGAGAGAGAGAGAGAGAGAGAGAGAGAGAGAGAGAGAGAGAGAGAGAGAGAGGGGGAGAGAGAGGAGAGAGAGAGGGAGAGAGAGAGAGAGAGACAGTTATTTTTGATAAGTTTACATTTTTGGAAGCCTCAGAGAGGGAGCAGCTTGCCGTTGCCACAACTCCCAGGAGTTGTCGGCAAGTCATGGGGTAAAACATGTTTTTCACGCGTTTACGTATTCCAACAGCTGTCCGGCTGAGCTCCAGTTCCTGCTTCTACCAAGGGAACGTTGAGGGGCCGTGCGTGCCTAAAGTAATGTTTGGACATGTCGGGGTTGATCAATATTCCATCTAGGGCCCCAAATGACAATGGGGAACTTTTCCCGTTGTGTGCGAAAGATCATGATTTAGAGGTTTCCCCCAGTGGTCATCCCATGAGAAGGACCTTTTGATCAGCCCCCATGTTTTTTGCTAAGTTTGATTGTGAAAGTTTGTGGCGTTAAATCATTGTACAAGAGTGCCAGCACAGAGACCTATTCTGTACTGCTATTGGGTTGGATCTTTGGGCTTTAACTTTTTGGATTCCCCACATATTTCCTTTTAACCAGCAAACGGTTAAACTTTTTGCTGGGGGATCTACAGCACCCAAGTATTTGCTTATTGGTTCTCCATGAGCGATCCTGCAAGCAGCGCAGGTACGTGTACTGCCGGGTGCCAGGAAAGCACTTGTCCTTCCGAACGCAGACGAGGCTGGCAGTGTTGCGTTGGTTTCAAGTGCGCCTGCGGAAGCAAGCCTCAAGCGAGGCAGCGTCTGAGGTATATCTTCTTTGTCCTTTGCGCGCGCGCGCGTGAAATTAAGCAAGCTCACAGTTGAAACAGATGGGCAGGATGCTGTTGACCCTGGTTGGACCTTGGAAATTGGAAGGACCATATCCCCAGCCAGGCTCCGCAGCCTGGACCCGGTGTGGAATGAGTCTCAGGAGGGGCTTCGAAAGATTCCGGGAAGGAAAAGCGCGTGTAGACAAACCACAGGTTTTCCGGATCCCGGCGGTTGGTTTCTGACGTCCAACAGGTTCATTTTGAGCCCAGACGAATCAACCCCAGCTTGTGAATATGGGGGAGGGAGCCCATTAACAATTGGTCTGAATCCCCACATTTTACCCAGGGACACCACCTATGAATAAACTGGGGGTTGATGAATATGGGGTCAACTTTAACTGGATGTTCGCGCCCCCCCCCCCCCCGGAAAAAAGAACAACAAGAAGGAAAAAAACCACGAAGAAGAGCAGCTCTTCAGGACCTGGAAGGATTGGAGCTGGGCCGGGGACCCCGGAATTGATTGACCTGGGGAGGTGTCAAAGGCTGTTCGTATTTGATACCGTGTTTGTTTTTTCGGTATGGGCGTGCTCTCCGTCTTGGCGTGCTATTGGCTGGCATTGCTGCACTTGCTGGATGCGTTTGTTTTTTTTGTTGGACGCATTTGCGCACGCAGCGCTGCATTGGCGTGATGTTGGTCATTGATTGATAGTTTGCCTTCTCATTGGCATTGAGAGCAATTAATTTCCGGGCTTGCATGCGACTTCGACTCTCCACACCTTTCTGATGTAGGTACTGAGATTTGTGCGGGCAGCTTCATGGTAGCGTTGGGAATGTGCTACAGTACAGGCTGTTTTTGGTTCATGCGAGGGGCCAACTTGCACTTGTCACACATTGCCTGCCGCAACGGTTGGGCAGATGCTTTTGCCAGTGTTTTGGCAGACGCTGCATTTCCTTGGAGCGCGGGCATGCGCGGGTTTGGCTCACGCGTGGGAAGGGCGCTTGGTGGGGCTTTTGCCCGGGCCTGCGATGATGTAGCAATTGAAATGACGGGGGCTCTGCTGCCACCATGCTGGGGCAGGAGGCCGCCTGTGCAAGCGAAGCACGCTGGGGACGGGAGGCTTAGCATTCATTCACGTGACCCTCACCTAGGTAGTGGGGCGAGCTGTGCGCTTTCGTCCCCTCTCGCGTTGTCATGGTCTGGTGGTGTTTGGAGCTTTGCTCCGCTGCCCGCCGCGTCCGCTTGATTGCCGCCCGTGCGGAGCGAAAGAAGCATGCAGGGGACGGGGCGGCTTCCAATTCTGTTTGGGAAACCTGGATTGAGATCCATACCGCTTCGTGCATGGCACAATTATTTATACAGACCAGCGGGTCCTAGGACTAAGTGCTCAGGCGACACCATGCATTTCAAGGTTATGAGCCAGGAGGACAAGAAGGAAGACGCAGCTCGGCCAGATACATCATCGTGGCATGCATGGCTTTTGAAGACGATTGTGTAGCCTGAGAGCATGACCATTTTTTCGGCCAAGGTACTGTAGTGGTTCAATGCGAATTCCAGCGATGTATGAATGGGCATGGGTTGCCCTGTTGCAGAGCCCCCAATGTCCTGAGCAAGATCCCACTCTCTGGTGAATGGGCTCATTCGCCGAGCCGAACTCAGGAGTTCCTGGGTGAAGCCAAGTTGGTGGCCCGGGACTTGGACCCCGAAGCCATATCTTAACTATCTCTCCCTTGTTCCCTTGGCACAGCTTCACGTTTTTGTCCGGATACAAGTTTAAAAAGTGGAGGCCAACCAGGTCCTCGGAAGTTGCCTATTTTCTCAGAGAGTATTTTACTGGCCGCCCCGTGGCTAGAGGCAATACCCTGTCAAGTCCGAAAAGAAAGCAATATAATATGTGAGCAAGTGATGGCAAGTGCCAGAGCTCAGCACTCAATCTGGATGTCTGTTTGCAGGCCCTGATGAACGCTGCCGTCAAGTTAAGGTGTGACCTATTCGCGCGACCTGCCCTGCATCATTTCTATTCCTGAGTAGTAGTGTCTTTTCGCTGCCCACTTGCAAGCCACGTTTTGTTTGTTTGCATACTCCCTTTCGATAAACCCTACGTCAAGCATTCGAAGTGTCTCACCCAGTGGACTCTTCTGCCCGCGTCAGAAGCTATGGCTTCAGGTGAGCCCAGGGGGCTTCAACGGCGGCTTGGTGATTATGCTCCGGGGTCGGAAAGCGGGCAGCTTACGACTGGCCGCTGTGGCTGCACACATTCTTGTGCAAGGCCACGAAAGGTGGGATCCTCTAATGGACTTGGACTTGTCACTGGGCGTCCCTCATGTGGAAATCTAGTTTGGCACCTCTGGGCATCTAGCTGGTGAACAGGCCTGTGCAAGCTACACAGACCTTGATGTTAGCACATGTAGTCAATGCAACGTCAAGCTAGTTGCATGCAACTCGTGCGCGCTTTGTCTTTACACGCGCACCAATGTGATGCGCCCCTCAAAACAGCCCTGGATGCCGGCGATGCTTCCAGCCAGCATTTGATCTAGAACACGGAAAATTTAGAGAGCATAATTTCTGCAACCTTTGGTGCCTGCATCCTTCCTCCGCGTAGATGGCGGTCTAGACAGACACGATGAGGCGAGTCCCAAATCCTCTGCCAAACGGGAGCCCAGCTTAATAAACCGCTGGTTGATTTAATGGGGCCACTTAGGAGCGCATTATTCACTTTTCTTTCCGCGAACACTTCTCAGAGGAATGTTGATCCCCCATGGCCCACCAATCATGTCCCTAAGATTTGCCGGCAATTTCCGTGGCGCAAGGTTGGGTGCTCTTGTTGCTCAGTAGGGTTACCTTTGCCTCCTTGGACCCCTAGGGTGCTCATTCAAGCTCATTGAAGAGATAGGCTGCTCTTTGCTTTGTTGAATCGAACCTCCCACCCCAAACAGTTAGCCCTCCTCAGATAAACATATTCACCCTCCAAATCAATTGGTTTAGAATGGAGTAGCATTGCTGGTGCCAAATTTGAGTTTCCGTTTGGTTTACTAGCTTTCTGCTGAGATGGGATTTGAGTCTCCATTTGTTGGGCTTAAGCTTCCTTTGGAAGTGCTACGAGCTGGATGGAGCTGGCAAAAGAGATGTGGGAGACTCAAATAGCTTTCTTTGAGTTTTTGGGAAGGGAATTAGGTTTGGTTGGAATCAACTTTCTGGCCTGTTCTCTTTGCGCCAAGCGCTGTGTCAGCCCGCATGGCCGTGTCCCCCAAATTATCTCGTATTAGTGGCACGTGGCCTTGCCTTTGCCTTCTTTTCCGTCGCTTCCTTGTGGCCTTACCTTGCTAGAACTCAACATGGGTTAGGCGGCAGCTTCGCTGCGAGTGACCTGGCTCTTTGTCTCTCTGTCTCTTTGCATCATTCTGGATCTCGCTCTCTCTGTCTCTCTCTCTCTCTCTCTCTCTCTCTCTCGCTCTCGCTCTTTTTTGGGGTTGATTAGGGCTAGGTGCTCAAGCAAAACTCTGATTTCAGCTTGGGGGGGTTGAAATTGCTTCGAACTTTGCAATATTGACTTTCCCCTGTCTTTTTCCGTGGCTTGATGTTTCTTGCATGTGCCTTTGCAGTTGTTTTTGCGCAGGGGACGTGTTTCTCACTATATTTGTTTGTTTCGTCATTTCAGGGGAGGTACATAGTTCATTATTCACGCAGGTTGCTAATCCAAAGTGGGCATCATTGAAGGCAATGAACTTCTACCAAATGTTCATGTCGCTTAGTTGTTGCTTGTCCAAGGTGGCGTGCTTGGCCTTCTTAGCTTGTCACAGGGCATGTGCAGGGCCAGCCAGGGATGTTAGGCCCCCTCAGCATTCTTACGCTCAATTGCTCTTCAGCTTTCGGGACAGAGGGTTTTGCAGCCGGAATGTGATTGTCTCTTTTTGCTTTGCAGCTGAGGAAGTCGTCATACCGCCCGTGTTTCAGGAGAGCATGATATATTTGCGCATGTGTGGCAGGTTTGCAAGCAGAGCGCAGCGCAGGGGCTTGCAAGCAAGTGTCAGTATCATTAATTGGTTCCCCCCCAAGCGTCTACCCAGTTCACTCAGGGAGTGGGTGCTTGAACTCGTGGCTGGAGAGTGACTGACCCCCAGGACACCTCCACCAGCAAGAAGCAGCCGATGACTTTTGATAGCAGCTTTGCAGCACGGAATGTCCGGCGGGAACCCACTGACGGTTTGTCATGTTTAGCTACTTCAGTCCAGCGAAAAATTGTGCTGCCCATCGGCAGGAATTCGAAGCGCTCTGCTTCTTGAAAACTGCTCTCGTGTTTCAATAGAGGCAGGGGGCCGGACGGAGTCCGGTACAAATAGGGAATGTGAGTTGCGATCGCAAGCAGCTTGTGCAGGTCAGAACCCTCGCGAGGTGGCCAGGGCCTCATTTCGGTCCGTTCGCAAAGCTCTTAAAGCCATGTCTCGAGGGCTTGAGGCTAGTGACAGCTTCCAGTTTCACGGGGCCGGTGTTTTTGCTCACAGTGCTACCTGGCAAGAGCACGCATGTTTCAGCCAATCACATTGTTTGTGGGAAGCAGGTGCATCACCCAAGAGAGCAGCTGTAAAGCACGACATAGTGTGGTCGCTAAACTGTTCAGCCCGGTTTCGGGCAATCGATTCGTTTGGCTTGTCAGAACTATTGAAGCCGCACTGTGTGCCCCCTGCCGTGAGTGGGCATGGCACCACTTGGTTTGCAATTTGAGTTTGAGAAAAGTCCTGAAATGCTTTCAGATGTGAGATGCGTATTGCAAGTCACGGCCATAAGATGGCGCGGTTTGATTTGTGACAGGTACAATCCCTAGTCCCTGTTCGCGTGTTGATTTGGGTGTGGCTCAAGATTAAACAGGAGGGGTTACGCAGGTTTTGGTCCATGTTTCCACTTCCCAGGACAACCCATTTTGGTACCCGTTTTTTGGAGCCACAGCCAAATTTGTGATCATGGATCCGGTTGGTAGGTGCAGACCATCACCTGGGGCACCACCGAAGAGGCCGCCCATGCGGTCGCCTCTTTGGAGTCGCTGCTGCGGCCCGGCGGGAGGTTGGTTTGTTTGATAGGTTATCGGAGGGAGGGGCGGGGAGGGGAGGGAGGGAGGGAGGGAGGGGAGGGAGGGGAGGAGAGGGGAGGGGAGCGGAGCGGAGGGGAGGGGAGGGGAGGGGAGGGGAGGGGAGGGAGGGAGAAGGAAGGAGCGAGGGAGAGGAACAGAGAGTGACAGGAGCGACAGGGAGACAGGAGAATTGAAACAGACGGAGAGACGGACGGACAGAGCAGACAGACAGGTAGCCAGACAGAGGATGGACGGACAGACACACGGACAGTCACATAGATACAGACAGTTTGAATTGGCAGCCGCTAGAAGATGTTTCTAATTGCGCTCCAAGATATGGCGTGTCGCAGGATTTGGATGCGGGGCGTCGCATTCATGCACGGGGTTCTCCCAATCCAGCCCAGGACTTCTGAAGGTGTGCGCTCGCGCTTTGTGGCTGCCGGCATTGTGCAGCCTCTGGTTGCATTGCTCGTCGATGGCGTGATGGACACCCGCTGCAAGGCTGGGTACTGATAGTCTTGAATGCGAGCCAAAATGCCTTCCCGCTGCCAAGCTCCCGTGGTTCTTGGAGCCCGTGGCTGCAGCTTTACAAAAAAAAAAAAAAAACTGGCACAGTAGCCAAGGAGTGACACCACGGCAACAACTTCCCTCTTCCACGGCCCAGTGGGCAGTCACCACAGCAAGAGAGGTTTAGTACCTGGCCCATGGTATTCCAGTTGTTCAGAGGTACCCTTCAGTACCCTTCCTCCCTGCTCGTTTTTTGTTGGGGTTCACTGGTTCGGGTTTAGTGGTACCCTGGTTGTTGGTGCGTTTTAGAAAACGTTCCCCCAGTTCCCTCTGGAACTGTCCTTCTCGGATCACACGAGACCTGCAGAGAGCTGTGATTCCTGAGGCGGCCGCCGCCCTTCGGAACCTTGGCCAGTGCTCCGTGGGGAAACGCATTTTGGTCACCTCAGGCGCGGGCACATGGAGAGTGCATGGCGTTCGCTTCATCTCGGTTTGAAAGTCAGGGGTCAACCTATGTTCTGCTGTGCGGTGGTTTAATCATCGCCAGTTTGGCCAAGTTGAGTTTGTTTTGGTGGCCTGAATCCTGATATTGGTGGGCCTTGGAAGCAAACATGCACCAGATGAAGCTTTCTTTCTGGGATCTCTGGGCCCTCGCTTCTCTGGGGGAAGGTGGTCGTTTTTGAACGCGTGTTTTGGCTCGTTTTTGACGCGATTTTGCTCAAGTGTATGTGATTTACAGCAGCACGGCCATTTTTCCAAGTGTCCATGCACACCACGATGAGGCGCACGAACACGCATCATCAATCATAATCATCAACACCACCATCAACATCAATGTCATCATCATCATCATCATCATCAACATCAACATCAACATCAACATCAACATCAACATCAACATCAACATCAACATCAATATCATCATCGCATCAAAATCATCACCATCATCATCATCATCATCATCATCATCATCATCATCATTAACAACATCATCACCATTATCAACATCAACGTCGACATCACCATCATCATCGACATCATCAAAGTCATCGCCACCGACATCCTCATGGCCAACCTCAATATCATCATCATTAACATCATCACCATCATCACCATCATCATCAACATCAACACCGTCATCATCATCATCATCAACATCATCATCATCATCATCATCAACATCGTCAACATCGTCAACATCATCATCATCATCATCATCATCATCATCATCATCATCATCATCATCATCATCATCATCACCAGCCCCAGCGCGCAGTCGCACGGTCACGCAGTAAGAGGCGAACGTAACTACCCCACCCCACCCCCGACCCCCCCCCCCAGCCCCAATACGCAATTCCACCGTCACCCAGTCACGCAATTACCCCCTTCCCCCAGCCCCAGGACGCAGTCGCACGGTCACGCAGTAAGAGGCGAACGTAACTGCCCCACCCCACCCCACCCCCCCCGGGTGCCGCAGGATAGCCCCCCCATGTGTTCGAAAATGACCCACTCCGTGTTCGAAAATGATCCAGGACATCTGTGTTCGAAAATGATCCAAAATCGGTGTTCGCAAATGATCCCCCTCCCCTTCTCTGGCGGGTAAGAGTGCTTTGCTTCAGGATCACACGTGATGATTTCAGAAAGCAAGGGATCAGCCCAGGCAAGAAAGACGAAGAAAGGAATCAATCCATTCATAGAGTTAGCGCGCTGCATGATGTGATTCCATTTGCCAGGCGGCGTTCCTGCTCTCATGCAGCTTTTCTTTGAGGGCACGGCCCAGTGCAAAGAGGAGCGAGCCGTTATTGAAGCAGAACTCGGCGTGCACGAAAGCATAATTGCATCATGCTAGCTGCTTGCATGCAACTGAGGCGATTTGTTGAGCATGTTTGCTTTTTCAGCGTGCGCGGCTGCATGTCCAGGAGTCGATGGCAGCTTTGCTAAACATCGCTGCTGCAGACAAGGCCCCCTGTTGCATAGCGCTCTCAAACGCCAGAGGCGGTCAGCTTTGCGGTGTTTTGCACAACGGTTATGAGCAATCATGGTTTGGATGTTTCCAAAAGTACGCAAGTGTGGGAACTGGGGGGAAGAGCATTGGCAGGTTCGAGAGGAGCTGGTATCTGGAGGCTGGCACGCAGTGACTGGACTTGTGCAAGTGGGAGGGTGCTTCTTCAGCGTTTCAGTTGTTTGGACCCAACAATCGGAAGCCAGGGGGTGGCCAGCGGCCAATGCTTGCAGATTTGGCAGGGCATATTTGGCAGCATATTTGGCACACTGGTAAATTAAAGTAATCCGCTTGTTATGTTTGCCTGTACTCCATGTTGGCGGAACATCGGCCACGCAGGCATGGTTCCCTGGTTGCTGGCAATGTTGCAGAGCACAGTGCCGAGCAGCCTAGCCCATGCAGCAACTCGACTGGCACTAGTTCCTTTGCAGGCTCTTGGTCAACGTGCGGGCCCCGATTGTTGGAGCACAAAGGAGGCTAACACAGCCCACAGGGCCCCTAGGACAGGTTTTAGATCGTTTGCTTAGCTCCAATCGGCTGGATTGTGGGGGAACGGGCAACGGGGCTGTCAATATGGCTTGGCCATGGGGCAAGGCCTGGGTGCGGGTGCCAAGGACACCGAAATGGGAAAGGAATATTGTTGCAGGGTGAGTGGAAATCAAAGCAGGATCCGTGTCGGGAGGGGGACGTTTGTTTTCTTTGCGCGTGCCGGAGAATATGTCAATCGCGCCGCACGATAGCAGCCTGTTGGCCAAAATAAGTTCATGATCGTGGCTAAGCATGGCATAGTGGTCGGTGAATTTAACTGCTTAGAGAAGATACGCTCCCTCAGACTAACATGGAAGCTCCCAGAAGGCCTCTGTAAATAGAACCGAGTCTTCCAAAGGGGTCTGGGAGCTTCCACGTTAGTCTGGGGGCTGGCTACCCGGTCAGGTGCGCCTTTTGGGCTGCCTCTCCACAGACCAGGCATGGAGAAAGCTACAGCTGACATATCTGGGTGTCCGTTTTTTTTTTGAGGGGGTCTTGCGGAACGCCTTTGGCGGCTCGTGAATTATGAGGCTCGGGGGGGGGTTGGCCCCCTGGTTTGAAAGGGACACGAAACCTGAGAATCATCACCGAACGCCGCACACTATCAATGCGGTGTGCTTTGTGCCCGTCCAGCCTACTGCCATGGCTCACTTGGTCACGGTTCTTTTCAGCGTCTGAATCGAATCCCTCGGGACAGGATGTGGCAGACAACTTCATGAGCGCTTCCCTGCCACGATTGCGGCAGCTGCTGCAAGACACTCACCAGGATGTGACTCGGAGTTGAAGCTTCTTGAGTGTAGATTCGGTTATATGTGTTTTATGTGTGTGTGTGGAACCTGGGATGGCTGCCACGAAAGCCCAAAATGGTTGTTGGTGTTCTGTTCGGTCCTACCAGGGTCATAGCTTAGACAGTTCCGCGGTGTGCTTGAATTGGTAATCATCCACGATTCGAATGATTCAAACTCGCAGTTGCTGCGTGGCTTGTTCGGTTGGATTGCTTGCAATTGAGTTTGCCAAAGCCGGAACCATCCGCGATGCTCCATCAGCTATGCGGCTTTCTGGGACGCATTGGTTGTCGGATTGTTTGGTTTGCAAAGGGGAGGTCAGGAAGGACATGGCCTATCAACCTTTCTGATCATGATCAGCATGACATGGAAAGGGGGGTCCTTACTTCTTCCTCGAATGCCTGATGTTCCTTGAGTTTGAACAGGGAACCGCTTGAAGTGGCAGGGCCTCAGACTAGGAAAATGTTGAACGCAGCGCCAGGGTAGTAAAAGACTGGCTTAGGGGTGCGAATGCCAACTAGGGTATATAGGGCACCGTATGTTTGCGTCGGCCTGCTCGAAGGCATGATGTTGAGAGCCTTGCAAGCACCTTTCTGCATCCAGGCTTGATGTACCGTAAAGTTTCCCATACATGAATGGACTTGAGCCCACCAGCATGCTTCTGGAGAGACTCCTGCAAACCCGTGCCTTGGGGAAATCTTGTTGGGAAGAGGCAGCCTCGAAGCTCTCAGGTTCGGCTTCAGACCGCCTTTGCCCTCTCTCGCATAGCATGCGCGGATGATCGTCGTCAAGTGCTGGTGGAAGCTTGGCGAGGCCGGCTTTCTGAGGCCGGCCAACTTCTGAGCTGCATGCGCGCCTTCCTCCTTTGGGTCCCCCAGGATCGTGCCCTTTTATCCTTTCTTTTTTTTGGGGGAGGGTTCCCCTACTAAAATAGACTAAGGAAAAAGTTGGTACCCTTATTCCAACCTCTCTACTGGACCTAGTCTTCTTCGCTTTGGTTCCCAGGCTTGGAAGGTAGCGCTCCCCTCGCCAGTCCCCCTATGGTTCGGCTGAATCAACCTCAGGAAGCCAACATGGCATCGCCGCTCAGCCGTCGCTTGGCGAATGACCCGGGCTTCACGAGTGAAGCGGCAACTCGTGGGATGCCAAGCTCGGGAGGCCTTTGGTACTGTAAGCAGCGTGCTAAGCACCATGGCGCGTGGGCCAGTCTGGCAATTGCTGGCGCAAAAAGGAAAAAAACGGCCTGCGGGCTTGCCGCGTTTCGTGAGACTAGTCGGAACTGAGGCGAGGCGCTTGGCAGCGAGGACTAGTTCAAATGTACCAGCGCAAACTTACTGCACACATTGGATTGACAAGCAAGCCCGATGACGTACGCCGGGAATCGGGCTTGCTTGATCTCATCCAACCTTCTCCGTCCTGTTTTGCAATTGCTTGAACGTGTCCACACCCATCTGTTGAAATCTGAAAACGTGGATATAGAGCCTGCACCCTATCAAGATGCCCTTATGACATTTGCAGTGTTCCTTTGTTGAACGCGAGCGGGATAGGCGTGAGGGCTGAATCTGGAGTTCCCGTCAGGAGCAACTGTGGACCTAGAGTATGGGTGCAGTTGCCTCGTGTTTGGTAACTTCATTGGCAACATTGGCAGGCATGAATCATGTCTGACAAAATTCTCCAAATGCTTGACCATGCTGACTCAAGTTGTTTCAAGTGACTTTACTTTCTTGGTATCCTTGAAGGCCTCGCTAAGGCTGGGATTGCTTCTTTGGTTGGGTTGTGAATCAGCATGGCTCCGAGTGCTAAGATGGTTGGGAAGACATTCCAGGTCTACAGCTCGGATGGAACAGCAGAAAGTTTCGGGGCGTCCGCGGGCAGAGCGACCTTTTGGAAGTGCTGCCCATGTCATTTTGTCATAAGGACGGCTGCACTTCACCTGCTTCAAGTCGAAATTCAACAAAGAAACCTGAGCCAACTCGGCAAGGCGGAAACAACACGCGCGGCACCTGAGGAGTCTGGTTGGGACATCCAGATCTTAGGGAGCCGTGGCGGCGCATCCCTTTTCTCTCCTAGGTTTACTGGAGGATGACAGCTACGACTGCAAGGCCGAAGCCGCTGGGGCGATGGCGGAGTTGCTCAGCGCCACTGACAAGCGCTTCCTGGCTGCCCTGGCTCCATGCTGTTCATTGCTTTCAGCGTGCTTGCTTTTCTTGTGGTTGTCAAGTTGCTGGGTGGCTTGGCCTCAGCTTACTTTCTGCAGCCAGCTGTGGGGTGCACTGTTTGCATGCAACTCTCCCCTCTGCCAGCTTCAGGCATATTCAAGAAGATTGCTGCTCACTGTCTGGATTTGGATATTCTTCATCCACTTCTTGCCGCCTGTCTCATTTGAGAGAGGTGCCTTAGGGCAATGGCAATGTCCCCGGCATGAGGGCAGAGACGTGAGTGTGGCAAGGAAAGTGGTGGAGTTAGACAATCGGGTGGCCGGGGCTTGAAAGCAGGTGCAGAGGAAAAATGGAATTGTTCTCATGGAATAGCAGACTGAAAATTGAACTTGATGCCTTGCCGAATTCTGACGGTCACCCCGAAATTGGTCTAGTGGTTACCCTGACGGGTCGACCTCCTGGGCCAACATCTGGGCAAGAGAACTTTAAAATGACAACTTCCAATCTGTGTTTTCTCTTGATGAGGGGTCGTGGCCTGCAAGGGTAATCTTTGCAAGCTTGGACACCTTGTCTTTTTAAACAAACTTTGGCAGGAGGATACATTTTGGGGGGGCAAGCGCATATTTTGGGGTAAAACTTTGGGGGATTTACAAGTGGCTTAGTATTGGTGGGTTTAAGCGCAGACAAGCAAATACTGAGCAAAACGTGCAAGAGGGGTACGTTTAGTCGGGGGAAGGGGGGGGGCTGGGAGGCCCAAACAATGAGTGGGTAGTGTGTGTTGGGCAGACCTTGTCGGCCCTCTACTAGTATTGGTGGGAATCTGGGAGGCAAAAGTGAAACCTTCTATCATGGGGTTTCCTAATGGTGCACTGGTCTTACGAGTCTACCCGTCTTTGTGCTGGGGAAGCGCTTGGCCTCGCTTTGGGTATGCTGGCAGCCTAGGAGCTTCTGTCTTCACACCATGATGCTTGCCAGGGGCCTTAGACAATCTGCCTTCTGCGCGGCTCAATTTGACCAGCCTTGCCAACAAAGTCGCAATCATGACGTAGTCATGCTGCAGCCGGTTGAAGCATGTGAGACCACTTAGGTGCTGCGCATGCCACCCGCGCCTTATGCGTGTTGGCTTCGACGCAGAAGACGGGGACAGAGATGCTGTCGCGAGGAGTGGCGCACCACTCGCTTTTTGCTCTTGCTGCCATTGAGAGCTGAGCAGGGGGTATGGGAGCCTGAGCACCAGCCAAAGGTCAAAGCCAACCAAAGTCGATGCTGGCCAAATCGAGGCAGCATACAGGTGAAGTTTTGACTGCCGACCATTCAACTCACAATCGCATGCCCAGCCATTCTCTCCAACTAGCATGCATAAAATGAGCACCTTTCATCCCATTTGTGTGCACTGAACGTGGGGTGGAAGCATAACGTGCCGTAGCTGCAACACAAAAAGCAGCAATTAGATATCAATTGGACTCTGGAGCGCCGTCGCGATGGTACCCAACACAGGGGGGGGCAAGCGCTTGTTTTCGCGTTTTCGCAGGGCCAGACACGAACCATTCAAGGAATTCTCCACCTGCTAGATCTCAGAATCCTTTGTTTTTCGCAAGGGATGTCGCGAATTCCACGCACTGTAAAAATAAGTGTTATCTTACAAGAATGGGACCGCAGTGGCATTAGGACAACGACAATGTCCGAGTCCAATCCCTGAGTGCACTGCTTGCACTGGCTGCACTGGTCGCATTGCCTCTGCAAGTAGCTAGGTCCTTAGGTTAGGTTGAAGGTTGGAGGTTCGCAGCAACTTTCCGGGCAGGCAAACGGAGAAGCATGTCTTTTGGCAAGGGATCAGAAGTCCAAACGCACGATTGAGGTCGATTCTGCTGGTTTCACCTTTTCCCAAGCTGAAGACCTTGGAACTTGACGTAAGTCAAGTGCAATGAGCCCTCCCGCATCATCTTCGACTTTGTTTGCAGAGATGTGCCTGAGCGGGAAATCCCTGCAAGGCTTGGGGGCTCCAAATTGCAGTTTTTATTTGAGAGGTCCTTGAGGCCGGCCGGGGAATAACTTCCAACCTGCATTTTTTGCGAAGAGTTGCAGACTTCTAGAAGACGTTGAAGAATTGCATCATTCGGAAGAACATCCAACCAGCGTTTGTGAAGAGTCACAGACTAGAAGATGTTGAATTGCATTCAACAAAGCTTGCCCCAGAATCCCATGGCATCCTATAGCATCCACTTCTCCAAGCACACGTCACCACGTCAGGAGCCCTGAAGCCGCTGGTGGGCCTGCTGCGGGGCCACCCGGCGCTGGCGCGCACCCTGCGTGTGGCCAAGGTCTTGCAGGCGCTTCCGCCTGGCCGGGCACGTTTGTCGGATTTTATTTTTTCTCCGGGAGGTACGGCCAAGAATGCCAGGTGGTTGAGCTTCTGTGGTATTTTGCAGCAACTGTATTGTATCCATGTCTTTGAACTGTGGTATTTGAAAGGGGGCATGCCTTGGGACCTTTGAGCAGGGGCTAGGGTGCCGGAGGCTGTGGGTCAAAACCAATGCCGATCCCATTCTGGGGCGGATGAACACCCATGTGCCACCTATTTTGATGTTCACCAGGGGTACAGGGTTCAAAACCAGTGGGATAGGTGCACCATCCATTTTAGAACCGATTTTAGTGCGGATTGGGATGTTCACTGGGGGTACGATTTGGGTTTTGACGCATGGCCATACGTTACAAGGACTTTTGTGTTTGCAAGCGCTCTCTTCAACTCGAGCAGGCATGGAAGCTCAACTGGGACATGTGCCTCGCGGGCATACCACTGCCAACTGGCAGTATTGCCTCAGTCCAGGTTAGTATTGCCAAATTATTGCTTAGATTCTGAGCTTAGCGCAAATGCAGTTGGGCAAGCTTTGGCTGCTCAGTTGAGTAGCCTACATAAACACTTCACACGATTGAATCTCAGGGTGGACCTGTGCTGGTTGCAGGGTTTGGGCGGAACTCGTAACATTTCATATTGGCCGCATTAAGTTCCGGTCTCAGAGTCTCAGCCTAGACATATTCATTGGTGGACATAAGTGCTATATTTGGCCACGCAAGAGTTGGCAAGTCGCACACCAGGCACTTGCAGATTTCAATCGCAGCAGCATGGACATGGCGCTTTCTTCGGATAGCGGCTATGAGCTGATGCCCCTTGGCTCCGGGCGTCAGAAAAAAGAGATTTGCGATGGAAAGCCAGCCGGCTCCCTGCCGACAGCACAAATTGTTCCAAAGGGGCTCCTTGGCACCCATGGAAGGTCAATAGCGTATGGGACGCCATCTGTTTATGTTTGACTGGCAGCGGCCAAACGGACCAGGCTATTTCCGCTTTCCTGGTTAGAATGGTCCGAGCCTTTGGCCAACAAAAGGCCCCTGAGTGCAGCGCGTTGGGGGTAACCCTTGGCAAACCCCTTGGCCCCTTGGCCCCTTGGCCCCTAGCTCCAGGATGAGTGCCTTGCGGCTGCTGCACGAGCACCGCGGCAAGGGCCTGACCACCCCGCGCCTGCCCGCACTCGCAGCTCGGGCAAACCGTGGCCCTCCGTCCCCGTAGGCCCCTTGGGGCAGGTACGTAGGTAAGCGGTTGTAACCATGGTAACCCACACGCGCCATGGTTGGGTTCGTCTCCGTTCAGTGGGTCTCACCAGGCGGGAAAAAACAAATCACGGACTCAGACCCTGTTCAACTTTAAGTATTCCTCGGCGTTCGTGAAGTCTGACCATGTGATCTGATGTGATTCGCGCGCAGGTTCGAACCCGGACAGTTGCAAACACCTCATCGATGCACGCTGAAACAGAAGAGGGATGCCGAACTTCAAAGTCTGGGGGTTCCACAGTTCCACGGCAAGTTTCTGGCCACGGGCGCAGCTTTTGTTCCATGCGTCAGCTATGCGAGCCACGGAAACCAAGGGAAGCTACGAGATGCGCAGTCCCGCGGCCATGGTTTGTGGCTTGGCCAGTTTCACGGAGCTGCGGCAGCTTGCGTGGCTTCATAGTGCATCCGGATCCCAGCACTCATGAGCTAAGCATCGG